AGGGCTTGCAAGAACTTGATTTTGGTTTTTGGTTTTTTTTTTTCCCCCTTCTTATTTTACAGTTCTGTGCACTTTTGAGAGAAACAGCCCCGGTCTACTCGCGGACAGAGAAGGGTAACAACCAGGCGGCTCGCCCCCTTGGCACAGCGGCAAGCAAACAAGCACTGAGCTAGTGCTAAGGGATGCGAAGGTTGGGCTAAAGCTGCCCCAAAACACTGACAACCGCTGCTAAACCTAAGTTTAAAGGGCACCCAGAGCTGGTCTGAGCTGGGGAGAGAGGGAGCGGGGCAGACAGGGCGGGAGGGCCTTGAGCACGGGGCTCCTGGGGCATGAACCCCTCCCGGCTTCTCCTGCTGGGGAGCTGGGGGTGCGTCTTCTCTGATGGGCTGGGAGGGAAGGAGCTCGGGCTCATGAAATGCCGACCCGTTCGCCGAACTGAAATCTCGGGTTTCCCTTCCCTCAGTTCTGTGATGTTTATCTGCCTCCACAGAGGAGCGTCTCTTTTTACTAACTTCAATATCAGCGCTGTTCTTTGTAGTGAGCACAGCGGCCTTTTAGCAGTGCTACCGGCAACCTTAAACAGTGGCATTTGTATCAGGAATACCTGTTTCTATTGCCGAAACGTTGAAGCCAACTGCAGTGTACGTCCTCCGCTTGAGGAGCAGGAGTTACGCGGGGATGGTACCTCAGCAGCTTTTGTAAAACTCTGTTTATACAGGTTTTTTTTTTTTAACAGCTCAAATTCAATTTTATTTCAGGAGGGAGACAGGTAGGAAGATGATGTAGACCTCAGTGTTTCAGTGACTCCAAATTTACCTAGCTCACACTTTAAAAAAAAAAAATTCCCTACTGGGAACCCCTGGAATTTGAGCCTGAGCACTGAGCTCTGTTTCCTGCACCAACAGGGAAAACAAGGGTACCACACGGTAAATACTGGTGTTGGTAGCAGCCACTCAGACGCCCAAATCACTTGTCCACGCAACAAAACTGAATTTGAAAGGTGACGAGGCATTCTTCATACAGAATTTCATGACGCCAGTTTTACACTACCATTTTGAAGCAGAACTGCTCCTTATAGACACTGAAGGCCACATCCTGCATTATTAGGAATCGGTGAACGCCCGAGAACGAAAGGGTTAAAGGAGCGTGCCTCTAACAGTGCTATTAATTCTGTGAATGACCCTCTCAAAGTGGAAGCAAAGAATATCTTCAGGAAACTGCTCTTCAACCAGAAGGAAGTGCTGCTGACTAGAATTCATTTATAATCCAAAATCAAGTATCTTGCAGGAAACCTAGACTGTCCTTCATCCTTGATAAAATTTAGAAGTTGTAATTGGATAATGGGAATCCAGTTACGACAAGAGAGACCAGTTAAGTGACAAAAGATTTTACACGCAAAAAGACATTTGTACTGCAAATAAGCTGGGGGGGGGACGGACACATTCTACTACTACAGAGAGCGACATCTGCATAATCAATACAGAATCAAAGCAACATTTTAGAAAGTTTCAAATCTCTGTCTTGATATTTTATCAATGTATTTATATAGCTATAATTTAGAGAATGCATTCTTATGTACATATTCAACACCAAATTGCAGTAAAACCTTTAAAATAACCTGACAAATTATTATATAGATAGCAAGTCTGGCTGGAAAACAGTTTAAAGATATACACAGATTGTTTCAAGAATACACTGGGTAGTCTTTTAAATCCCATGCTATTGCGAGACACCGACACATGCAGAAATAACTGGCTCTGGACACCAAATCTACGAGAATGACAGACCTTGTGGGGGGAAAGAAAAAGTCCACCCTACCCTGAGTCCTTATATGGCTTTTTTTTTTTTCCCTGACATAACAAAATATAACTGGGTAAGTAAGTCTAGGTACTGGACTCGGCTCTTCCCCAAAACTGTTCACTTCAGGCCAACATCTTAAAGAGCCTGCAGGGCTTGTGCCAGTTCAGGCCTTATGACTCCAGACGCCGACACTGCGTCCCTGCACGTACAGGCAGCGGCAGCGTAGCTCTCCCTCTCGAAACCCTGCCCAAGCACCTGAACCACAGCTACACCAGACCTCTCGCATGAACGTTACGTCCTTGGTTCTTCCCCTGGTGCCACTGCAAACCAGCGCTGCTGCTGTGGTGGCACCTAGTGGGACAGAATTTCTCTTGGGAAAAGAGAACTCCCTAAAACGAAAAGGCCACCTTAATATCCTATGTTACCTTAGAGCTTAATTTATTACACATTGCTTTAAGAGTCCTCATTTACAAATGAAGTCACTTTGTCTAAATACAGTTTCAACATATGGTACATAATAATATATGATGGTTTATTGTCGATGATGGTAACAAATGACTTCTAGCTAGAAAGTCAACAAGAACAGAATAGTTTGTTTCTGGTTTCCCAGGGTATAGTTAGATAGATAGAGTATCCATGGCATATGATTGCTGAGAAGTTTTCTTCTTCGCAAAAGTATATTAAAGGACCTCATATATCCCATTCCATCACAAGAATTGTTAAACAGTAATAAACAGAATTGTGAGAGTTCACAGGCTTTTCTAAGTGAGTCAAAGAGGTTTGTTCACTAGAGTTTCTGTCTCTGGTGAGCAGCTCACTGCAACTCCATTAATAAGTGCATTACTTTATTTGCATGCTTTAGCTGTCTTCAAGATCTTAAATTGTTATCTTCTGGGATCCAGATGCATGCCATGTGGTGTTTGTGCAACTAAAAGTGAAGGGCTCTATTCTCGTCTCGATGTGTGGGGAATCCCTGAACACCAAGAGAAGAACATATCCTTAAGGGTTAAAGGAGGGAACACATTTTTATTTGATTACAGGGCTTAAGGAAGTGACTTGTATTTGCTATAAAGAATATAAATCAAAAGAGCTGTAGGTTGTTTTAGGATTCTGGCAATGGCTTGTCTGAGGCGTCATGACGCCACCCCTAAATACATCTTTTCCTAGGAAACTGCTTTCAAATTGAACTATGAAAAGCAGTATGTTGTTGGTCACAACGCACAGCTGCACAAACAACCTTTTCCGTACTATGATCTCTACGGTGGCTTCTACTGGCATGCTACATAACTGGGGGGGGAGAGGTGGTGGCACCACAGAAGACTGTAGACCTGGTATGACTACAACGCACCATATAAATCACACAGTTTCTACCACCTGAACAGCAAGCATAGTTAAACACAAAATATTTCGAGAAAAAGCTGTAAAATAAGTAGATACTCTCCCCGCCAATACATTGCCTCAGAACACCATTTACAAATAGATTTATGATACAGCACTATATCTGTGGCGCTTTCAGGATAACTGCAAATAAAAGTGGCATCCGTTTTACTATGTTTCTAAATAAGCATATCAAAATTGATAGAGACTTAAGCTGTCTCAATGGCTTAACTAAGCGGCCAGTTTCAATTCTGGCACTGAAAAGTGGGGAAGCAGACAGTCTCCCCCTGCCTCATTAAGGCATGCTTTTTACAAATTTGTGGTGCTGTCTCTGAAATAATAAATCCTGTGCCTCTTTAGCAACCAAATGTCAGTTTAATATCAACTCTGAGTGGCAATTTCCAGCTAGTAAATTAAATCTGTTTTGCAATCTGTTTCACTGTATTTGCCATTTAGGACAGCAAAATGGTTCTGCGAAAAGTATTAGTTTCTGAAGAATTTATGATTGTCATTTAATTTATCCGCCCTGTAGTTCCGGTGAATACAAATGTGAGTATTCAGATTTATTTTGAGCTCTTGTTAACCAAAATGTACCTGGAACTGTACCAGATTAAGCTGCTTTCCATATAAACCAACAGTAAACACAGGTTCTACTAATACAGGCTTTAAAAATAGATAGGAATTGAATAAAACTCTGCAAAACAGACACTGCAAAGCAACTTCCTGGATCTATCCAGGACAGACATTTGCTGGAGAGCAGACAGAGCAACCTTGCAGAAGCATATCACTTACAAAGCAAACTTACCTTGCATTAATGAGGTACTGTGCTAAGCTGATGTTTGCAGGGGATCCTGTGATTGTAACTTGTCGTTCTGCAGAGCCTTCTGTGGCATTAGCAATCTTGATCTGCGCTCCTGACATCTGCCTGATTTCATTTATCTTACTGCCTTGTCTGCCAATAATGCAGCCTATTAACTGGAGCGGGACAGAGACTGAGATTAGTGCCACAGACACAAGCAAAAACCATTTTACTGCAATTATTTGTAGTGTTGATAAAAAAAATAAAAACATGGTTATGAAAAGACTCAGGAGCAAAACAAAAGATTTTTGCTGTGCTGTTTGGTAGGAATAACTAGCAGGGTCTTTCAGCTCAATGTTCATACTTGTGTCATTCAGGCCTTGTTGCTCACAGGGCTATGTATCAACTCAGCATCACAGATTATTTCGCTGTCTTCTGTGGCTGAAAACGGCATCACGTCGTAGCGCTGATGAACGCAAAATATTGTCCCGGTCTGAATCTCCAGCCAAGAACAGCAGCTGGGAGTCAGATAATAGCAAGCACTATCAGTGCTGCACTGCACCAGTTTAGTGTGGCTGCTAGTCCTCAACCTTCCTTGGCAAACTTGGTCCTTACTCGGCCAGACACCGCGCCATTAAAATCAGTGGGATTTACAGCCATGTAACTGAAGGCAGAATTAAGCAAAGACTGGAATTTGTTCCCAGTGTAACTGCGCTCCTTTACAGAAGCTTAACAAAGTTTACATTTTGTGACTAAAACTGAGCCTGTGTGCGCGCGCCCCTCGGTCCCGTAAAATTGCACTGGTGTTACCCTTGTCACTAAACAGTCTTTTAAAGATTGCTTGAATGCTCTCGGTGGAGTTACAAGCACTTGGACTGTGTCCGCAACATTTTGAAAAAGTATTTTAACACTATCCGTAAGGACTGCAGCTGCCGGGGGGTGACAGGGGAGTGTGATAGCTGCTCCTCCGGCAGCCAAACAGTGAGTGAGCACCAAGCCAGCCGCTGATGTGGAGATGTGGTTTCTCCACTGGTGAGGAGGCGGCCAGCCTTCTGCTTTGTGGCAAGGCAGGCTGGATACTACCAAACTCAGCAACGCCCAGAACCAGGAGAAAATGACAATTTTGCTCTCCTGGAATGCTGACACTGGAAGGACGTTTTTCTGCCAGTTTGGCAGAAAAATATGCAAAGATGCTGAGATTTCCTTGCCCTCCCACCCTCTCCACTGCTTCTCCTCCTGACATACTGTTGTTTCTATTACTGTAGTACTTTGAGCCTCTGGCCAGAAAGTGATTCCTGTTGTCCAAGACACTGTCCAGACATTTCATCAAAAGAAAACAAACAAAAAAATAGGTACTATCTATCTGCGTTACACTCAGTGACAGACAGGCTGCCAAAATAGAGAGCCCCTTAGCCAAAGCAGACAGAGAAGACAAAGAGTGTGTGCATGGGAGAGAAAAATGGGTTTTAAAAAAACACACACACAGATTTTTCCCATTCCATTTAAATAGGAGTGCCTTTTTTAACTCCTTATTCTGAGGAGCTGTGTTAGTATACGGCCTCTGCCAGGGGCCAATGCCTCTGCCTTTACGCGCCTCATTGAGATCCTTGTGGTGAGGATGGGGAACTTGCTGATGCTGATACTTCCCAGGGACGTGACTGTGGAGGAGGTAAGTCTGCTGGATTAGCTGGGAAAAAAGTAGTTACCACAGCAGCTAGGGGACTCTGCTAGGGAGCTGCTGGCTCTTACTGACCTAGTGGAACTGGGAGCTGAATATTACATCTTTAGCTTTGACTCACTTTTGACCACGTTAAATTTGGAGCCCGGATAAGGAGACGGGTCCTTTTGCTGAGGGACTGTTATGACAGACCAACATAAACCGTGAATACTCCCAGGTAGCCTGGGGTAAAAGTGCTGTTTTACGAACTGACCACTGTGGTGAAGAGTGGGGACCTTTAGGATTTCTCTGTGCACACATGCGAGCACGTATACATACACTAATTATCAGCACAGGGTTCCCTAGACATCTACTTGCTACACCTTACGCTCACCGGCCTCCATGGCTCACAGGCAGCTAAGGTGAAGCAGGAGAGAAGAGCACTTAGAGCACAGATGGCAGCTGCGACGCCAGTCATGGTGGCTTTCGGCATCCTTGTAGGCCATCATTATATGAAAAGAAAGCAAGCCCCTCCACAGCATGCTGTGCACCAAAGCTGAGAGCACTAGACGCACTGTGATCTGTTAAAACTTGATGATGGATTGCCACGTTTTTCTTCCCATGAATCATTTGCATGTCATACTATAAATATAATTTTCCCAAATCTGGTCTGAAGCATCTACTGCTGTGGAAGCAGAACAGAGGCCTGGTGGAAAAAAAACCTTGGGTCATCTTTACCTGCCTGTTAGCTACAATTGTTCACGGAGATATGAAATTGGCTTGGGATGGCCAACAGGAGTGCAGTCAGTGTACAGTTAGTGGAGGCTGTCAGTATTTCCCTCTGCCAAGACCCGGGGCTCATTGTTCTGGAAGGTCACGATCTTGAAGCTTTTGGCCAATAATCCATCTGTTGATATGGACGATCTTGTTAACCTGTGCCCAGGATTTAGGCTCAGTGAAGCAGCAATTCTGGCAGCTCTGGTACCTTCAGAGTCCACTGACAGATGCCAGGTCTGAATATGCATCTGGTTGATGTAACAGATTATATCCTAACATATATATTTTTATATATTTTATATATATTAATAACAGAAAAATGTAGATTGTACTTATCCCTTGAAGTCTGTCCAAAGCAAAAGGGTTGAAATCTAGTACAATTACTTGGTATTAAAAATACGAGTCATGCTGTTATCATTTAGAAGACTTTCGAGGTGGTCCAGTGAGCAGACAGTGCTGTTGTTGACTACAGGTGTTTGCGGGGTTCAAAGCAGTGGAATTGCATGGCTCTGCCGGTTCTTCAGGCAAGTTATGAGCACGCTGCAGTTTCACTTCTCTTTTTCAACAAGTCTGGTGAAGGCACCTGCAGGGTCAGCCAGGAGCCTGCCATTTTTACGGGACGGGGGGGCTTCCCGTGATCCTTCTAACCCTTGTGGCTCAGCAGGCAGCACTTTAAATGAATTCGAGTGAGGTAGCAAAAAGATTCTGTCCAGATAGGTTAAGGATAATGATGTTGATGGAGGTATCTGGAAGAACCTGTTTCAGTAATACTCTGATTATGACACTTATCTGCAATGCAGATAGGAAACCTGAGAGTCCTGTTATGGGCTGGGCTGACCCTGGAGGCCTTGTCAATGCCTTTGGCACAGGGTACCTTAAAATCATATTTGACAGGAAGAAAAGGGCACCATCCTAATTCCAGTCTGAAGCTCTCCAAAGTTGTCCTTTTTCCTGTGGTAACAGGCTGCTTGAGCACGCTCTGTAGGACATGACATGACCTGCGCTACATGGTCGCACCAGCCTGTGCAGCATACACGTGGGAAGCGCAGGGACGTGTGAGTGCTTGGGCTTTCATCTGTGATACCCAGCCCTTCACATATTGCCATACTACTTATGTTCAAAGTTGTGCAATATCTGAATATTCAGGAGAGGCTGGTTTCTGGAAGAAGTCCAAGGAACTGGTTTTCATCTGTAACGCTTTGATCAGTCGGGCCTTGGATATTTGGTTCTACATAATAAAACCTGGCCTGCCTTGCTCTGAAAAGTCACGTCAGATTGCATCCAAACGCATGTTCCTCTTTCCAAGACTGATCTTTCTAATGCCATCAGCTGCCCACTCTGTCATTCTTCAGCTGACTGTTTCACATATTTTGGCAGGTTATGTGCACTTCAATCCCAGAAAAGTCCCTTGCAACAAAAAGCAAGCTTCCTCCAACTCTGAAAGTCTTGCATGAAATGCTGTGTGTTGTACAGACAGGGATTCGCTGCTTTTCAAACTCAACAGATAGGGTTAGGGAATGAGGAGGACAGTAACATGTAATATTTTTCAAGGACTTAAGGCATTGCATTATTTTTGACGTTCACCTGTTTGCTCAGCATACCGTGAGCCTGACTCTCACGCACAGCCGGAAAAAAAAAAAAAAAGGAGAAAGTTCTCCAGAAAAAAAAGGGATAAAGTTGGCCTGCATGAAAGAAGAGTCAAGATATAAAAATAACCATTTGTCCTTACAGCTCCAAATTTCCACTGATCCCCTCTCCCTCTTGTACTGTGAGCACCACTGAAAAACTGTTCCCCTTTCACATTCGCCACACCACTTATGACCTGTTTTCTCCTCTTTTAGTCTACCTCACTTTTCTTCACGCAAAAAAAGAAAAAAAAATCTAAAATGGATTCTCCGTTTTGCCTTTCTCCAGTTTTCCTTTACCCTTCAGTAAAATTCCCCTAGTACTAAGGTAAAAAGGAGTGAATCAGGAATCTGGACTCCTAAAGGGAGGGACAGGAAGGAGGTCTACTGTGCCACCCTGCCACACGCTGCTGCTAGGGACAGTTACTTCTGCTACGTCATGCCACTTCAGGGTCGTGCCGCGCTCCCTTCTGTCCGTGCCCACCATAAACGCTGAAGTCACTGATAAAGCCGAATAATAAAAGTAAATCTATTATCTGCACAAAGAAACTCAGCTAAATACCCTTTAAAACACAGCTGTGTTGCCTACTCGCCTGTTCGCCTGTGCCCACCACACTGCGTTATTTCTGTGCAGCAGTGGGAGAGATCAGATATTTAGTCTGACATTTGTGATCAACGTCCAGTGCTGTAGGGCATCGCTTGTCATAGGAGATGGCATCAAGCTCACGTGGTTTTTTTTTATACAGATAGATATTTACATACTGGTAAAAAACCACTAGCACTGGTAGAAAGGGCCAAGTAGGCTCTACAACTTGGCGCCTGCTGTCTCTAGCCCAGGAGCCAACCGTGGAGGAACACGTGGGCCCCTCTGCTACCTGCTGCCAGCCCAGAGCAAGCCCAGGGACTCTGGCAAAGGCTCCGCATTAGCTCTACTCCAGCTGCCAAAGCAAAACTCCCTACGAAAGAGACTCGGTTATTGCTCATAAAGATATACTCCGAGTCTTTTGCTTGCTGCTGCCAGTCGTCACCCTTCTCTCCTCTGTCACTTACGCACCCTGGGTTTTTCCACTGACAAGACTCTTGGGGTTTTTTTTAGTTAGAAATGCCAGAGGCAGACGACTCTACAGGGAGTGATAATCTCTTGAGGGATGATTACAGTTCTTTGCAGACTTACTGTAGGGCCTTGGAAGAGATGCTTAAATACTCCCTGCCTCTTAAAAAGCAATAATAACAATTAACCTCACTTTCCTTTCAAGGATAATGCAAAATCTGAACTACACTGATTTCACAGGCTTTGTAAGAAGGCATACGGAAAACTGAGATGACATTTGCAGAAACAAGCGTTGTTCTTTGCATGTGACCTACCAGATCTGCAGATTTGTCTGCGTTTCAATTTACTGAGGGCCCCGTGTCCATTCCCACCCTGCTCCCTAAGCGGAGCAGTAGCTGCTTTGGGGAGAAATTCTTATTAACGCTAAACAGTGCCTTGGTCCACAAGCGGTCTCACTTCGCTTCTGATGGCTGTTGAGCTTGTGTAATCTTTCCACTGATTCTTGAGCTCATCTGGACAGGTCTACTTGAGGACTCAAATGACATCCTCTTAGATTAGAGGAAGACAAAAATAAGGCCACGTGCAAACGTATTGGAAGGGGGGTACACTTTTCTTGTAACATTCAAACAGCAGCCTGGTTGGAAGCCACACCAGGGTCAGAAGTTGGCCTCGCGGTCGCCTTAAGGGCTCACGCCATTTCGTGCTCTGCAGGAAATGATCTCAAGCTCTGCAAAAATGTGAGACCAGTTCCCCCTTGGGAATACCCACGGAGGAGGAAGCGCAATCCTGACCTTCCTGGAGGGCTACGTGGAGCCATCGCTGGATTTTGCTGTAAGCTACTCTGAGAGCATTTACCCACGCGGGGTCCCTCTAAGTCACTTGCAGGGAAGTAGTTCTAACTCCGTGAGAAAACACAGCTGGTGCTTCAGCATACCATCTCCAACTTAGATGGATTTGCATTTCTGTTTCTATGCAGTATTTAGCAGATTTATAGCTTTCTTAAGTTTTTCTTGGTGTTTTCTGAGGAAAAAGTAGTTTTCCTGTTACTTGTCCCTGCCTGTCTCTCACGCATATATGGGAAATATAACTCATTTTTAATAAAGGGGAATTTTCAGTTATTGGCTCGCTCACTTACTCTCAAAGGCCCCATTTTTTCACAAAAAACCTTAAAACATCTGTGCCCAATCCATTCCACCCAGTGAAACTATCCCTTCTGTTCCCTGTCACTCTCTATCTAGCAGAGTGGTGGAAGCACTAGGATTTGTATAAAACACACTTAGTTACAACGTGTAACGTCCACAACTGCTGGAGAAGATCCCAGCACCGAAAGCAAGGCAAACAAGCAATGCTTACTGGAAGAGGAGTCCAGAGCTAAAAGCTCGCCTGCTTTGGAGGATAGCTGCGCTCAGGCAATTACATACCTTTGGCACACAGTATCTTCTATGCTCTTCACTCCTTTTTGGGTAATTAAATAATCAGAGCAATCTTTTCTCTATCACTTCCATGAAGAGCTAAGGGCACTCACTCTGCTTCATGCACTTTCTTAGATTCTTGGAAAATATGATCAACCAAACCCCAGGGCACTGTGGCCTGGCCGTAGCCCGGGACTCGGCCTTACCGCAGGGGCAGAGCCGCAGGCTGGCCTCAGGATTGCAGCAGCCACCGTTAGTCCCTTTGCAGGAGCAAGTCAAATTAAGTAACGCAAGTGGCACCAACATTTTCTCAACTTTTCTAGCATAGAAACACCAGGATTGCCCACTCTGGAAGTCAAAAGTGGGGACCATCAGGTACAGCAGAAGTTTCTTGGCAATGCTGGGCTAATGCTCTCTTTTCAGAGGTGGGAGTAACCAAATGTCCCAATAAGGGGTTATGAGGAGGAAAAGGAGATACAGGATAAAGAGGAAAGTGATTTCTAAGTGGGACTTGGGGAAATGTCCCCTCCGCTCTCTTTTTGAAGACACCCAGGAAGTTCTAACAAAACCTAGGAAGGCAAATCTTCTCAATTCACTCTTTGGAGGGAAAGCCTGGGCCTTCGGTGTATGGAAAAAAGCTTTTGGTCAAATGCATTCCTTTGTTCCCTAGTATCTCTTTGTCATTTAGCAACAGGTTAGTTGCAATTCTCAGCACATCGTCTGAGGAAAGCACCGTGACCTTACTACAGTAATTGTTAACTGGAGAAAAGATATTTCGGTCACTGCCTTAACACCTTTAAACATATAAATAATCAGCATGTGGCACTGCCTGTCAAAGTGACCCACATGCACCCTGGCCTCCTGCTTGCACCAACGCCCAAGCACTGCCAGCAGAAGCCAGAGCAGACACTACTGAGGCTGAGATGTCGCTTTTTAGGAGAGGACCTTCCTTCCCTCCCTGAGGGTCACGCTGGTGCAGAGCATGCAATGACCCCTGAGTAGGTGCCTCTTTACTTGTAATTTAGACAGTGCTGACAAAAAACAATTTTGAGGGATGGGATAATTGGGACCCACGACTACCAAGGGCCAAAGCATCACTTTGGGGCCAAAGCATCACTTTGCCTGTCCCACCGCCAGCCCAGCTGAGGGGTCTGCACCGCATAGATTTGCTTTTACCTGCCCCACCGCTGGGTGAGAGCTGGCAAGACGGACACCAGCATGTGCGGCTATGCCAGGAGACCCAATTCGCCTGCCCAAAGCATGGGCAGAGCAACTGCCTTGAGGAGATGCAAAGGGAAGCTACTACCCCCTTCCACAAAATAATAAAAGCTCCCAAGGAGCCTGTAACGCCTTCGCAGAGACCCCGTCCTTCCACATCCACACGAAAGAACAGCACCGGACACACACACACGCACGCACGCACAATACGAACCACTTAACTCCATTTCACCGTTTGCAGCACCTCTGCAGGCTGTTTTTTCTAAGCCTAGCCCCATTCTGGCCTTGTTTTTGTTGCTTTAGCAACAACAGCAAGACAGGCACTGTGCAGCTAGAAAAGTCTTCCATTGCAAACAAGACACCGAAGCACATCTGCTCCTCATCGAGCCGGTGGCTTTGCCAGTGGCACTTCACACCTCCTAGATGAGAAACAGGTATTTTTTTCTTTTCTACTGCACTACAGGACACAGGGCTGACTTTCTCTCTCTCTTTCACCGGTATCAACCCCAAAAGGCTCCAGTGAAGTCAGAAAAGTTACCCTGGACTTATACTGCCAATGCCAATAACAACATTTGCCAGGCAGCGAGATTACAAAAACCTGCACTGTAGGAATAGAGAGTGCGCTCTCATAAAATTCTCGGCATATAAATTGGGTTATAAAGCAGGTAGTAACAAATCAGCAGGACATCCTTTAAGTAACAGCAAGCGTACCAAATCCCAAGCACTTATAAAAGATTTACCTTTGCTGCTGCTTTGTTGTTTTGTATTTTTTCTTTCTGTAAATCATTGCCACTGAGTTTAATAGGGCTTACACAATATTGCAAGCATCTCTTAAGTAATACAATGACATTATTTGTGAGCCCATTCGTGCTTGAAAGCTTTTTTTACTAGAGGGGAAATCTTCCATTTTCCATGTGACTCATTCATAATGAACACTGATAAAACCTCTGTTTGCAAGGAAAGAGAATAAAACTGGAAGATATTTTTATATGGCATGCACAATATCACTTAGGCGCTTTGAGTAGCTGTTTAAAGATTCAGCACCGCGTTGCTTAGGGCGACCGAGTTTGCCGATCGCAGTCAGTCGACGGTTCACGGAGCATGAATGTTTTTTAGCCTGGTTTTATATAAGCGCTTATACTGCACCTTTAAAGAAATGGGGTAGCTTTTGAGCTCAAGAAAAGTGCTGTTTAACTTGGCATTCATATATATATGAATATATATATATATAACCACAGAGGAGAGATTTTTGCCCACAGCGGCACAGAAAAAGCGATACGGACTATTGGTCCACTTACATCGTTTGGAATAGTAAGTTCATGGGAACTGGTTGGAGTGGTGGCATCCAGTCCTATTTAGGGACAGAGGGAAAACGTTACACCAGCGCTTTGCAAAAAGGGGAAGACACGACAAATGATACTTCAAAGAAGGAAACATATGGAAAGAAAAGAGAGGAGCAAAGAAGAGTAGAGAAGTGCTAGCGAAACAGAAAGGAAAGCAAGAGAGGCAAAACTCAGCGGGTTGGACTAATTTTAAATGAGCCTTATTTTAAATTAACCTTTAACCCACCAAAATAACAAATGTCACATGAGGTTCCACAGGGTTATAAAAAAAAACTTCTAGAGAAATGAAGGGTTTCACCTAAAAATAGTCTTTGACATTTTTCCTAAAAGCATTAATTCAGAAATTAAGGGATGGCTGAAATTTGACCTGTCTACCAAGAGTTCTAAAGTACAGAAAATGATAGTGGAAATCAGATCGAAAATTAATAAAACAAACTCTACAGATATGTGAAAAGAAAAATCAATACATTAAAATACAGATGAGGAAAAAACTAGGAGAATTTGGAAATTACATGTGGGATTAGTTCCTGAAGAAATTTTGGGAAGGGTAATTTTTAAAGGGAAAAGAACAGAATACTGTAAGCTGCATACATTTGTTTTTAAATTGGGTGGACAAAAGGAAAACGCTTAGGAGAAATGGATTTACTGCTCTAGCACATAGTAACATTACAGAAACGTACATCTCACAAATATAACCAGGAGAAGCTTAAGGAGTGGCATGTTAATGACAAGAATAAGGAAAATATAAAGCTAGGAAAGGCAATTTAGTATTACTTGTAGATATTTTATCAGATACACCATACAGAAACTAAAAAATACTTTGAATGTAGTTTCTCTTTTTTTTTTTTCCACTATTACTGTGTAGAGGGCTGCCAAAAATATGCATTTCCCACCAGAAAAGATGGAAAAGAAATAATCTTACAAAAAAAGGAGGCTCGCCCACATTTTAATTAAGTTTACATTCAATTAAGAATGGTGTATGCTTATTTTACATCAAACATAAAACTGTAACTGATCAAGTTGCTCATAAAATTTGATGTATGTGATAAAATGTTATTTGCCATACAAAACATGTACCAGTATATCAGCTCTTTGTCATATAATTCTTAGCTGCCAAGCCCATGCGTACTGAAGTACAGCAAAATGATTTCTTGCAGGGTTATGTCACTTGAGCTCTCTTTTTTCAATAGAAAAGTCAGCTTTAGTTGAGATGCTTTAGCAAGTATGGACCAACTCTTGCAGTCCTTAAGTGAACTAAATTTCTGCTGCATTACGCGAGATATCTCCTCGAGTAGGAAGAGCGAGATTTGTCCCAGCAGTGAAGATTGCACATCCTGTTAAGGCACTTGCAAGGAATTCCAGTTTCGGCATGTGGTAATTTTTTAAATCAGTATTTCCAGACTGCAAGAACATACAGGTCTGCTATGTTTGCTTCTTCATGAAACATGCTACCAAACTGGGAACTTTTGAGAAGACACAGGCCAAAGTCGTTCACCCAATACCAACTGGTACATCCTGTATAGTGCATAATAACTTGACAAGGACTGAACAAAAGAAACTCGGAGCTTTTAGCCAATGGCACAAATTAAGCGGTTTTGATTAAATGAACGGAACAAACAAAGCACGACATTTTAGTAATGACGAAAGGAACTGTAACAAGAGGCACGGGGTGGGGGACAAGAACAAAGATTAATGTGTGAAAACAAAAGGATCACTGGTCATTGCGCACATTTATTACTAAAATGATGTAATGACCATGGGAAACAAAGCTGTTAAGAAGAAGGACATCCCCAGGGGGTCACGGGTACGTACCAGGGAAACCAGGGGTGGTCTGCCCAAGGGGAGTAAAGGGGGGATGCTGCATAGCCAACTGGTGAAGCTTGGTCAACTGCAGGGCAGGATGGGAAATTAGAACTAACCAATCAAATGGAATTATTTCAGAGCAGAGAAACCATCTTACATGTTCTAAAACTGGATTAATTAAAATTATATTAAAAAAAAAAGGTTTAATCATTCATTCTAATCTACTGTAGAGGAAAAGAAACTGGTTATACATGACATCTCTACTGTTATTACATGTAATGGCTATTGTTAATATTAACTAATTATCTGTAGAATTACATATTAAAAGAACTCAAATATATCACATGCAAAAAAAGACCAAGATAACTGGCATTTGTTCCTGGGCCATTGTACTTTCTCACAATTACTACACAAGATGATAAAGAGCTTCAGCCCAGCTCACGCTGGCCTGAACTATATGTTATTAAGGAAAGGCGTCCTTAGGCCACGGCTTTACTGTTAGCTGCAGAAAGTACATGTTGCCCAGAACAAAGAAGAGGGAGAGAAAGAAAAAGGGGATAATTCACATGCGCTGGACTCACGTCTGGATGCGGGATGGCATACTGGCCCTGAATCGTAAACGCCTGCGAATAACAAGCACAAGGGAGACAGGGGTCAGGCAGGCCGGCCAACAGCAGTCCCCTTTCCATCAGGCTACAGAGAAGTCCTGCCGGTTCCCCAGCTAATGCCGCTGTTTTCTTCTTTTTGAACGCTGAGAGGGGCTTAATTGTCCTGTGCTGCTTGATATCGCTAGCCCGACACCGAGAGGCTCTGCATCCCTTCCCCGGCCAGTCCCACGGCAAGGGGAGCTGGGGAGGGACGGGACGGGGACCCCCCATCGTGGCAGGCTCTTACATTGCACAAAAAGCCAAACATCCACCCCAAATCCAGCTCTGTGCACCCTCAGAGGAGTGCTCGGGGTACGGTTCCTGGCGTCATTCGCTGGCAGCCCCACTGCCGGGCAGGACGCCGTGGCAGGCCTGGCATGAGCCTGTGCTGCTGGCTCTGCTCAACAGCCGACAGAGAAAAACTATAGAAAAAAAACTACATAAAATATAATTTTCCATCATATCCTGTAGGGCTTTTCTAAAAGGAACGGCACGTCAGAACAACTTTCAAGGGCTTGTGCTTAGACAGGCAGGAAAGCAGAAGGACAAATTATAACGTATAAATATTTGTACTGGGAGAATTATAAACAGGCACAGAGCCGATTAGCTTAGTTTGCTAAACGCTTATTTGACAAAAGGCCTCTTAGAAAGTAATGAATCCTCCGCAAATGATAAAGACAATTCATTTAATGGACTTTGGATATTAAAACCTTTAACGATCCAACTGCTTAATGCACATTTCTGCAGCAGAATTTCCCTTCTGGAGAGGAAACATTTCATTTAGTTTTCAAATTAGTTATAAAACAAAGCCACAATCCAGCAAACATTATGTACATGAGTGGTTTTGAGGCAGAAGTACGCTCTTGAGCTCAACAGGATGCTCACGGGCGTACATACTTGCACTCGTTTACGGGGCATGGCCATTATAAACAGTCTAAAAATGAAAGGAAAAGGCTCCAATCCAGCAAAACTGCCATTAGTGGGTCTTAAGCAAGCACATATTTAAGCAGGCAAGCAAGTAAAGCATATGTTTAAGTGTGTTACCAAACGAGGACAAGCTTAAGCGAATGCTTTGCTGAGTGGGGGCTTTGTGCACGTGGCTGAGCACCGGAGCGGCCTCACAGATGCTACGTTTGGAAAAAGGCGCTAAATCTGTGAGCAAATAACAGGTCTGTAAAGCATTAATTTGGTCTTTAGGCCTCTGTGCTGGATCAGAGATGTCCAGTCTGATCCTGGTTTTACATCAAATCCAGCAGGAGTATCTTCTACCGAAGTGTGAACCAGCAAGAAACCCCTGCAAAAAAAAAAAAAATCACCAGCGACCCTAACAAGGCTTGTCCGCTTCCCTCATCACCTCTCTCCTGCACGCTTCCAGGTGTACATAGGAGGAAGCAAGCAAAACTGGGGAAATCCCTGCAATAATTCCGATGCAGAGCTCAGCCTAGTTTTTATTTGGTTGACAATGAAGACCATCAAGGCAGCGTGGGCAAGATGGGTCTTAAGATTTTTTTCTTTCCTAGTAGCAAAGATGCCCTTCACTTCGTACGCTCCCAGAAGGTCATCTGACTGCCTTGGGTTGAAAAAATCTGTCTTTGGCTGTGTCACTCCTTGGTGGAGGAACCATGCCCTTCCCGTGGCTCAGGCAGGCCAAGCACGAGCGTGGCAGAGGTGGCTCTCACGCCTGTGCCGCAGCGAGTCGCCGAGCGCGTGAGCCACGGCACTGCTTCCATCGAAGCCAAGGGCGACTCTCCTGCTGACGCACTGGCATCAGCAAGGGCAGGAGCGACGTGACTTCATTTCAAAACTTAAAGCCCTTATGAGACATAGAGCGAAACGGCACCCTGTGAGTAGCCATCCCAACAGCAACGCAGCACAGCGGGTAGAAATCTTCGGTTTGTTTCTGTCAGGCAGGAGCGCTGGGCATTTATTTTTTTTCCCCCCCTATGTTGGATTCTGGTGAGGGGCAGAGCAGGGCAGGGCAGGACAGCGTTCAGCCTCCTTTCAGTTTTGTCAAGCAACGCAACATCAAAGCAGCACAAGAGAATTAAAAGCCATGTTTCAAGCAGCGAAACCCCAGCTGTTTAAATAAAAAATAGAAGTTGGATTTTGCTAGCATCGCTTGATATACAAGCATGAAAAAAAAAGAAAACATTTCAACATAGCCACAGTATAATTGAGAATGGAAAAATAACTTCGGATACTACAGCAAAAAGGTTGGGTGGACTTAATGCTGTCGACAAAGTTTTATTTTCAATATTAATTCCCACACAGCGTGCAATATGTTTGGTACTCTTGACACCCGCTTGAGATGCTTTCCGTACTGACTCCCAAACCCACCTCAGCATTTTCTAAGCTCCTGAGAAGTCCCTGAGTAAGTGAGGGACTAGAGTCAAAGCGGCCAGAAAGCTTGTGTCTCACGCTCTCTTTCTTATCTCAACGGGGTTGCATTAACAAAGTAGAGAACGCTTTTTTTGGACTGATAAAACTGAAGATGACAAGACTTTAGAGAACTATGAGACCTTTAAATAGGATGCTTTCAATTATTTATACAAACTGCTCAGAGCACCGTAGGGAACAGCTGCAGTATTTTTGAGTAATCATATACACAGAGACAGTCTTCGAAGACAGTGGTCATTACCACACTGGTAACACGGGCTGTTGTTTACATACTCACATACGTCTCCTAAAGAAAAGCACTGCATTATAAACTTAATATATATCTTGAGCTAATTTTTCCTGAACTTTCAGTCACAGACCAATTTTTGGCAAATCATTTTCAATTTCAATTCAACTTTGGTCAGTAAAGAAGTCGATTTCTTATTCGAAAGAAAACTAAGAGCAGAAGGCTCAGGTATCAGGAACTGATGGCTGCTATATCCAGATTATGAAAGTGCAGACACAATATATAGTTACAGGATAGAAGATCACTGAAACAGGATCTAAAATAATCAACAGAGAAAGCTCACTCCACAGGCTTGTCGGAAGCAATGGCTCTGATATATATTTGAGATGTGCAGGAGCTTTCAGTAAATTCAAGTCCCGTGTCTCAGCTGCGTGTCATGGGCCCCTTTCAGGACGATATCCAAAGGCAAGGAAGACTCGCCCAGCACGCGGGGTGTGCAGCAAGGCTTTAAAAGCCAGGGAGAATCCTGACTCATACAGTTTAAGAAGAAGGGGGAACAGACCTTCACCATTTAAAAAACAAACAGGAGAGCTCCAGTTGTTGTAAAGCAGGCTGCGCGCTGGGAAGGTCTGCAGTTGCCTTTATGTATTTGCTGCAACCTCAGAAGCCCCTTCCTGCTTGGTCCTCAGGGACTTTAAGCAACTGAAATAATAATGTGTGTATGTATTTTTAACAAAAAATGCATGATTTGGTCCTAATAAATATGAAAGCTACGAGAGAAGAAGCATGCCTTTCTTGAGCGGAGCCATCCTGCCCTTGGATCGCTGCTTGTGCTCTGCTGAAAGGTTGCCAGAACTACTTATACCGCTGGCGGAGCTGCAACTTAAGAGTGAAAAGGCAACTCCTACCATAACGGATTTGGACACCTCTCAAGTGACAGGAGAGCAAACTAGTTCTGGATTACAGAAGTTAACTCTAAATCTTGTTAACCTACCAGACACCACAGCGTTGTCTCGTTCTGCTGCTCACCGTACAAGGCTGACGAGAGCGACTGTACAGCGCTGAAAGAGAAGCAAGGAAACCACCCGCTCCTCCTGCCAGGTGACACACTTCTGACAACATGCACCAGGAAACAGCAAGGCTTTTTTCCTGCCTAACCACATCTACAAGAAAATCCCTGGGACAGCGCCCACGGTATTACTGAAATAATTTCTTCGCAGAATAATTTATTCAGTCTGTGTATTAAATGCTCCCCCCACATCGTTTTAATTTTAAGTTTGTAATGCAGTGTTCTCCTTTTCTGCAGACCACCAACACACAGAGCAGACGAAGCACATCAATACTGTACCAGGCAAAAAAAAAGAGGAAAAGTTGAACACTAACAGGCGCCGGCTGAGGTTGGGCCAAGACGGTGTGGTTTCCAGCTGAAGCCAAAATGGTGTCTGCTCTTACCTGGCCACCTGCAAAAATGATAGGTGCAGAGGCAGGTTTGGGACGGTAGGGGATGGTGGCACCTTTGGGTGGGGACTGCAGACAGAAACACAAAGCGATCAAAATGCAGAATGAGGCAGAGCTCATATTAAAAATCTCTCCTTACCGTGGTCACCTCCAAATACAAAGCACGCAGCTAACCCAGTCCCCGACCTACCCGTCCCTCCACCACAACCACGGCCGCTCGTCCTTGCTTTCGTGGGCACACGCCACAGCCCTGCCAGCACGGCTGACAAAGGCAGTGCTGGAACTTACGGCTTCATTACCACAATGGTCTGATGAAGCTGTAGAGCACCATTAAGCGTTTCAAGGCATTTCGGGAAACGCAGGCACAATTTTGAAATTTATGGATCTTTCGGGAAGAACCTGGCTTATGTTCTCACTCTGTTAAATACAGAAGACAACCTGTTTCTTGAGCTTTCCTATACTGTTACACATCAAGATTTCTCACTTTGTATCAGCTCAATTCAGTCAGATGCTCAGTTTTAGGTTAATGGCCTGATCCCACCTTCCTTTTGACTCACTGGAGAGAATTCCCTCCAGTTTCAGTGGGAGCATAACTAGGAGCTTTACAACAAAGAGGAGGGGAATTTATTCCCTAGAGTCCAAGGCAGAGACTCAAAGAGAAAATACCTGGCTCAGGTTGACTCTCTCCTTATAAATAAAGAGCAAGCTCATGTCTGTAAAACAGGCTTCTGAATGGTGCCCTGATCTCAATGCATTAACTGCCATTTAAAAAGATAACAACAGTAACACTTCCATTAATTAATACCATAGAATTAGTAGCTCCATTTCAGCAGAAGTGTTCACTAAACACATACCGCCAATTAGAACACATTCATTTCCTAACTTCTTTAAGTGTTTGAAGAAACAAACTGTAGTGAAGCCAGGGCCTTCTTGAAGAGCGTTGCTTGCGATTTACCCAACTCTAAAATTAAGCACTTCTTATGTCAAAACTGGTTATGTTAGAAAAAAAAAGGCTCTGCAGAAAAATATCACTGTGCCTCTGACTTCGAGAAGCGGCTTCTCTCGTCTTCTTCAGCACATAACTATGTCTTCTGTAAATGCCACTTGTACATTAGACTACACACTCTATTCACAAAGCTGATGACTATTATGTTCTCTAACAGACTAAAATTATTTTCCAATATCTATCTTTCTCTTTTCTTGCCTTCTATAAAGAAATTATTTCCTCCTAGTAGTCCCACAAAAACTGAAGGAACAGTCGCTTTTTCCAGGAAAACACGGGGGAATCGATTAATTTTTAGATATTTATTTGCATAAGGCTGTATGTCATTTTGATGCAAGGGCTGTATGGCATTTGGAGGCGTTGCCACTAGTGGTACTGCGGCATCCGACATTCCGCCATTTCTCCCATCTTCCGAAGAAGGAGGAACAGCGGGGCTGTCAGACATCACAAGGAGACAGCTCTTTTGACTAGGCTCGGTTTAAAAAAACAACAGCAACAACAACAAAAAAGAAACACGGAAAATTTTCCAGCAGAAAACATGATAAAAATGGAGATGCTTCATGTGCTGTGCCAAAAAATATGGTTACTAGGTCAAAACATTTCATTTTGATCTGCTGAGATTTGTTTTCTTCAAACTGCTATTCAACTTTATCATTATGAGAAGTCTACTTGTATAAAACTATAGGCATTTTTAGCATAGCCTCCCCTCAGGATTAAAATGCCCAGATTTTTATATGAATTAATTTATATAATTGAATCTAAGAAAAAAAAAAAAAAAAAAAAGGAGTCAAAATGAAACACTCTGGCCTTATGCAATGTTGTGACCCTGAGGAAACAATGAGTCCTGACACAGTGTAAATGGCACTATTCAGAGTTATTTCTGTTTAAAAGAAAAGCTAGTTGTTTTTTGCCCTAATCTGCATCAAAAGAAAATACTTCTCTTGGAATGGGCCAGAATTCCATCCTGAACACATGGGTTTTTTTAGTTTTTTAGGTTTTGGGGGGTCTTTTTGGACAATGTCCCGACAGCCCCTGTCTGTGGTTAACAGAGCCTGCTCGGAGGGGCACGAGATGCTCTAAAACACTGGGTCGGGCCCAGAGCACCAGAGCCCCCCCCAAAATCCTGGACACGGCAAGGACACGCAGCCCCCTTGGGGTACCCAGGGCATGGGAAGCATGGGGGAAAATGATGGTTTTGAACACCTCTCAGGTGAGAGCAGATGCTCTCGGCGATTGCTTACCTCGAGCATGACCACGCAGATTTGCTTCACGCACTGGATGATGGCATCGGGAGTGCCCGAGATCGTCACCGCCCGCTCCGTCGAATTTGGCAACATATCACCCGCCACTTGCACCTGGGCTCCTGTGGACTTCAGCAAAGACAAACCAGAGAGCAAATCACCGTCAGGGAGGTGACGGCGCTGGCTAAAAGCCAGGCGTGCACTGCTGCGAACCGATGAAATGAGGTGGAGCCACCTTAAACCTGGTCCTTTCTGTTAACTATGTGTGCGAACGCACACACAGATGCAGTAACTGGGCTCTGGCACAAGGCAGATTTGTCTGCTCCAGCCGATCTGCAAACGCTTCCACTGTGGGAAGGTTGGTTCCCAAGAGCTGTTTTTAAGCAGCAAACTGTCACCTGAGTTTCCGAAGCAAACTTGTAACCCCCTCTGACAACTGCCAACACTGATTAGGAAAGAAAAAGGTGGAAACCACTACTTTATAATAACTAATAAACATCGGGAAAAAAAAAATTGCTGATAATTGAAGAGGGTCTGCTCATCAAACGAGCTGCAATGGCAGACAACCGGTTCCCTAATCCACTGACGGCTGACTTCATTTCTCTGGCTGAAACCTGAGGTTGCTTCGTACTCTGGAATATCTCATGATGGTGCAGGAGCTCTTCTAAATTATAATTACTGTTGATTAAATATGTGCACATCATCAGCTTTTAGCTCATTAATGGACCTAAGGAGGTAATGAGCAGGTTTCCTTTTTTTTTTTAATTTGATCTTGGCACTAATGTATCTTAGTTAAAAATAAAAAAAACAGATAAACATGAAGCCAAATGATCTCTGGTATTATTTCACAAAAATCCTGAAAAATTTTCTCAATCAATGGATAAAAAACTTACATTTCATATTGAGTTAGCATTTTCATATATACAATACAATCTATTCCTGACTGTTAGGGCGATGCAGTATTTTGGGGGTTGTTTTTCCCGATTTTTTAGCAAATATTGATTTGGGGCCAGTCACCAAGGAGTTAATTTATTTTTCTGCTGGTCACATACAACACATCTTATTCTTCATTCCAGAGACTGATTAAATTACTGCTTACGTCTTGTGCTCGCTCTTGTTTAAGACCAGAATAGCAATTTCATCATAATTTCATCAATCATCTGTTGTGTTTTTCTTTTCTTTTCTTTTTAATAATCTTGTCTTGAGAATAGCATAGCAAGTGTGCATGTTGTTCCCAGGTAGCCATCTGAACACAAAAGAGCATCTCCCATGCAATCGGTGTGCAGAGCCTTGCGTGATGATGAACTCGGAGCACATCTAGAGAGGGATGCTCTGGTTTTCAGTTTGATTGTATCTGCTGTTTAACATACCGCTCTGAGGATTGGCGTATCTAGCACAAAATACTCTGCCAAATACTACAGGCGCTTATGCATTGCTAATCTTGTTTATTCTTTGACTTTAACTGTTACGTCAGCAATGAAAAAACGGGTAACGTTTTGTCCATCGCCTTTACGCTTAAGAAAACATACAGTGCGAATTCAGGCCACACCAGCCTTTCTCAAAAGCCCCCTTTGGTCGAACCGTATCCTTGTACTTCCTTGTACTACAAGGGTAGCTAATGGCTTTGGAAATGGCTGGCTCTACTCACCAGCATAGCCGTTCAAGCCCTTTAGTGCCCCCAGGCCAGCAGATCCGATCCCTATGGAATTCATAGGCCAACCCTTGTCCCAAAAGCTCTCAGCCCATGTTTTGCCTGAGATTTCCAATATTTTAAAAAATCTGTAAAATCTGCAGCTAAGCGCTCACCAGAGCACAGTCCGCGCTCATACGTGGTACTGTTCAACACAGCTAAGAAATTAGCCTGATTCCTGCTTCGTGACAGCTCCACTGGACATCTGAGAGACCCAGGGGACCCAGGGAAGGTGCGTCTCGTGGCCGCAGTGCCGTCTCCGAGAGAGCGCTCCAGGAGCGGCTCTTTCTTCAGTAAAGACCAGGCTTTTGTTCCATCTAATATAAACTTCTCTGACAAAGGTTTTTTGCAGTTAAAGAGAGAAAGTGTTTCCTAGGACCCTAATGTTTGCCTAGAAATACTGTTTTCTTCCTCTCAGTGTCATCAGGTGGCTCCTTTCTTGCACATCCCAAAAGCAGGTTTGAAAATAAAGGGGATTGTAGCTCGCTGGTTCTTTGATGAAAAATAATAAAATAAAATAACAAAATTCCAAGACAAAAAAATCTAATTTGTAACTAGCTTTTACTTGCAGGTCTCAGGTGGCAGGGCTCCCAATTATCTTTCTGTGAGTTTGCAAAAGACAACACATGCATGTTAGTATGCTCTCACTTCCCCGTACACAAGCGGAGGAAAGACCTCACCCAGTAGAAACCAAATCCTGAAAGGTCAAACTAAGCCGTCAGAAGGACCTTAGTTGAAAAACTCCCGGAACAATCAAATTTGAATCCAAATAAAATAATTCGGAAGAATTTGAAAGTCAATAGGGAAAGGAACTTGACTGCCCTCTCTGATCCCCCCTCCTTCCACAGCTAGCATAAGCTAACAATTCATAGCAAAAACTGGACATATCATTTTGATCAAAGCCTTTCCCACTAATTTATGACACTTCATCAATTTTTCTTTCAGTAGAAAAATGTAAGTTGGCTTTTTTGTCACATTTGAAATGAAAATTTGAAGTTCAATGAAACATACTGTCTTTAATCGACATTTTGAAAAAAAAAAAAAAGGTAAGTTTCATTTTGGCAAAGCCTGTCAAAAGCTTTTGTTTTGACACTGCCAAATAAAAACTGATCAGAATGTGAGCTTGATATTCAACATTTTATCCTGTGTTGGGATGAATATAAATGCAGATGAAATACTACCACTTTCTAAAGAGCAAAAATCCTTTGTCTGAAATGTTCTGTTTAGATTTTCCCTACATTAATTAACTTAGCATGTGTTTAATTTTCTTGTTTGACTGATGAAGAACCCAGGAGCCTCAGCCTGGCATGTGCTATGTTGGTGGAAGCGTGTATATGAAAATTTAAATGGACGTAGTATGATCATTTTTGTATTTTGTGATTAGAAGAAAAAGGGGTTGCTAGCACGGTACACTGGATATCCTGAGACAAAGGCTGTATTAACAACAACAAAAAAAACCCCTAGGGCTTTTCCAGGACTGGAGTATATGAAATCAGGTCACCTGTCAGAGAGCAAGATTAAGGAGACAGAGGAAAGGAGTACGAAGATCAGTTAAAAAATGAAGAGGTAGCCCAAGCATTTGATGTACTAACCTTGCCACCCCAAAGCTACGCGGGCCTCTCTGGCTGCCAAGGCTCTAACGGATTAGGAGATGACTGTGACCCTCAAACCCGCGACCATCCGAGCGTTGCTGGGGGGTTTTAGGCCTAAAAAGAAACTTGGGAGAGCCACTGCTGCTGCCAAACTGCTGCTTTGCCAAACTGTGCATCGATTTCAAGGGGGGGGCCGTTTCATTTTCCTTTTCTGAACTGCATTCGAGCGCCAGCTGTGAGTTACCGGAGGAGTTTATCAGAACGCCGGAACAAAGACTAACGTATTACAAAGCTGGTTTTTGCTTTTGTTTTTGTTTTAATTTCATATACTGTCTGTAGCTTGAAGGAAGATACACGGGTACAGACGCGTTGGACACCTGCTTCCCCCACAGCAAGGCTTCTTCCAGGCCTTTCACTCAGCACACATTTGCAATAACGCGATTAGCAAACGGCAGTGGAAGAGGGCACGGGCTTTAAACGGCTGCACTGGGACACCGAGCAGCCCTCTCGAGACTTACCTCCCTGATTTCTTTGATTTTGGAGCCTCCTTTCCCTATGAGGGACCCGCACTGACTCGCCGGCACGACGAGCCGCAGCGTTACGGGCGGTTTGCTCGTCACCGTGCTGTTTGTCATGGAAGCGTTTATGTCCTGCAACAACAACGTCAGTAAGGAGCAGCTGAGGACCTGTCAGTCCTCTTAAGGACTTAACGTGAAGCAAACAAAACCGGATTATTTCGATAAACGTTTTGACCCTCCCCAGGTTTAACTTCCCTTTTGCAGCGGCTCTACAGGATCTGCACTTCTGCGTAATTTCTAAGCTCTTGGGCATCGCAGCTCTAGAGCAGGGCATCCACGGCCAGCCGACGGCGCTCGGCAGAACGGCGACTATGCCTAAAGCAGCCACGGAGGCCGCACACGCGTTTTTATAAGCCTTTTGATATACTGCCAGGGGCAAGATTTACAAATTGCGTTAAATATATTTTGTTTGCGCAAAATCTTCTAGGCAAGACCTACCAAAATCCTTCCAAAGCCTTCATGACAAAGGAAAAGACGGCGCTTATCTTCCCACCGAACAACGGGAGCGCTTAAGATTCAAAAAAGCCGAGGGGGCACAAACTGCCTAGCACCTCGCTAGCAACCACGAGAAGCTCACTGCCGTTTCCAACATCGACGCACGGAGCTGACAAGAGCGTCTCCTTCCACCCGCGGGGGGAACGGAGCAGCTCTTCAACAGTTCACGCAAATGCCACCCAAAAGATTAGGAAGGAAACGACAGAAAGCTTGCATTTACATATTCCGTCAGCTCATTTAAAATGCAGTGAGAATTACGGCAACCGGAACGAACGTGCTTCCCTACGTTTTCACCTAGCAAGAGCTGCTTGCTTCTACAAGGAAAGTGCCTCTGCGTGTGATCTGCCTCCCAACTGAAAAACATTCTGTTTTTCAGGTGGAAGATGCCACCTTGCTATATCACCTTTGTGCCAGGCAGCGGCACACTGTCCTGCAGAGCGGGTAAATAACCCTTTTCAAAGCAACATAGCGCAACCCCAGCAATCTCTCCCACATCTGTATCACAACTGGCGTGGCCTCAAAGCATGAATTGTGCTCAGTGCCTTCAAAGGCACTTCACATGCATTAGCTCATTGAAAGCCACAATTCTCTTTATTTTCTCCCCTTAATTTAAAGGGAGTGAGAACTGAACACGTAGGCTCAGCATCACACCCATAAAGGAGTCAGAGCAGGTGAACAACGCATCAAAGGAGAAACAAACAAAACAAAACTCCCCTCCAGAACTGCAGGCTCCCAAGTAGGGCTGGCCAGAAATTTTCTCACAGAAGATCTTCTCAAAGAGCCTGTCCCAGCCGTGAGGCTTTGCATCAGCCCTAGCTTCCGGCATCCCTGGCTCTGGGGCGGGAGAGATGCCCCAGAGTCACGGCACCTAAGGCCTGCCAAGGCAAGCAAAGCTGGCAGCTCCGAGATCTGCCGAACCACTTGGCCAATACGTTCCACAATTTTTCTTTACTGGTTTCTAAACGAAATGTTAAACCTGCCAATTTCCGCAGCAAGCGTAATGGGGCTGTGGGGTGGCTCCTCGGTGGGCACCTGATCGTCACAGCATTTACTTTAGCTGTGGCAGCAACTTAGTATTTCACCAAAAAGCATCACCCCAATTTATCACCGTCCCCTTTCCCCATCTTCTACAGCTGAGTAAATTCTTTACAAATGCTTGCAAACGGGCATGCATTCCACCACATTTTTCCAGTTTAGCTGGAGAACGGCTGCCTACCTTGCTCTGCCTGCTCTAGACTTGCATTATATATTATGTAGACTTACCCCCAAAACCAGAGCTGCCCCACTCACCAGTCAACTGAGAGCTACATTTCTTGGGTCTCATCCCCTAGCCTGGAAACCACTGATCTTCTGCAATGTCTTCTGCAATTCCAATGACCCAGCTGGGTTAGGGCCCTTTTTTCACCTCTCTTTTTCTTCTGGAGTGAATACTTTAGTTGCTTCTGTGATTGCCTTCTTAGTCAGCACCTAAATTCATCATCACCAGGCTGCTAGAAAATCGACTTTTATCTAGAAAGGTTGCCAAAGTGGGGTGATATGAGGCTGCAAAAGAACAGCACAGCAAACACTCCTCCAGATCTCCCTATCTTTCACAGCTGGCTGCTTTTTGAGAATTCTGCTAAAACAAAAAGAGTGTCACAGGGCTCCCGTCTCTTTCTAGACCAGCTTAACCCCAGCTATATAGCTGTATGGTTGAAATTAGGAGGTCAAGGAATTAATGTCAAAAGTAAAAAAACTACTTACTAGAGCACATCACAGTTTAAAAACAGCCCTGCATCTTGCTATGACTGAAGAGGTACGCAGAATCTAGCGGTGACAGCTAGTGCAAAGGGCAGAAATGCTGTAATTCGTAAATTATTCCGACTGAGCGTGTTGATGGACTGAGGCTGTGGGCACTGAGAAAAAGATAACTGTGCAGACTACACTGACCCTAGCTGGTAACTAGCCCAGCCTGGGTTTGGTTGTACTGATAAGGAATGGGTTCACCTTTAGGACAAGCTGCTACAAGAGCTGTTCTCCAATCATAAAAGGGTTGAAAAAGCGCTGGTGTGTAAAAGGGAATGACATATGTTAATCTTCCACAGGCATGGATGGGGACAGTCAGCTTTTCATGTGATGGTTTAAAAGCAGACTACACTAAGACTTGACTGACTACCTTCTAGAGTCTTTTGCCACCTGCTAGTTAGTGGAGCTGCACAGAGCACAAACTCTTGGGAAAGGGACGTGCTCTTTGGGGGCCTACCCAACCAATACAACAAATCCCTTCTCCTCCTATTTTCTGTTGCATAAAAGGATACTTACATGTATCTTAGCTCATACAGTTCATATTTTCAATGCAGGCAGGCCCAGCTGTATTTTAACAGGCTAACTGTTTAAAGTAACTCAGAGAGCAGCACTTGGGCCACCAATATAACCAGCTAACATAGATGCGGCGTTAAATCAAGTCCACTCTAGTTAGCTGGGTGCTAGCTGACCTGTTCATCTCACAGGACTTCACATACGCTTTAATAATATTCCTGTTTTTCTTGTCCCAAAAAAGGCCTTGCAGGAAACGGAAAGACCCAAACGAACGAGCATGTTCGGCACTTTCTCGTTTGCTAACTGAGCAGGACTTCTGGGGGCTCAGGGTGCAGGCACGTACGATCTCACACGCCTTTGGAATCACACGTTTCTTGAATAGTTATGCTGTTACTAACAATCGTTTATGAGCCCATTTGTTCACGCTCAGTAGTGGCAGAAGGTCACTGGGTTTGCCCTACAGTTGCTGCAAGGGTCAAATTCCAGGTCTGACAATTTATGGTGCTATTTCGATTTCTTAGAATAAGTGAAAAGAGTATTTTATATGAAAAATTATGTTCTCTTCTAGGATTTTCTGTTTTTTTTAATGGCTGAAAAAAATCGCCAACCAAAAAATATGCCCGACAAGTAACTTTCAGTAGTCCGGTCATTTCTAATTTCTGAAACAGGACTTTATTTTGCCTCCAAAGTGTTATAGTTTCCCGATTTTATGAACACGAATGATTATAAGATACTGAATTGATTATATGATACAGTTTACCACAGTTCTGAATATACCAGTAGCCAATTATATTAAAATGAAATACAGATACTTCAGAACATATAACCCGTGTACTAGATCCACAGCAAGTGCTAATATCCTTTTGCTAGGATTCCACATTAAGATTCCAGATTATCCCAAGAATCTAAGAGGGTAAATACGCATGAAATCCACTCAGAGGCCTGAAATTCAGATTTCTTTGCCTCTTGCTAGCTACAGCATATTCAAAGATAACCTGGTCCTGAGCAGGGGTGGAGGGAGGCAGGGGGTCCTGATTCTGTGCAGTACGCAATGTCTTTTTTGAGAAATGCAGCGTTATTTTTATTGGGTACCAGTTTTAATGGGAACTGGCAGGGATTATCTCTGTTAAAGATTCCCTCAGCATTTTCCAGGATAAGTGCCTAAAAAGAGCGTGTTCCTCCCAGAGATTAGTCAGTGCTTTATGCACTTCTTTAAATACAGGAACTGTGCTGACAGTTTAGGGCACAGTCTGGACAGAGCAGCCACATACATCAAAACAGAAGAGAAAAAGTAAGCAGAATTTAATTGCCCATACAAAACTTGGGCAAAAATTCCTCAATTTCTATGAAAGGGCCCACTACTCTGCCCTGAACAGCAAACAAACCTTCAAACAAAAATGATTTTGTCGACAACAGATCTCCTTCTTTCTCTCATAACAAATATTTGCTCTTTCATAGTTTTTTTTTAGGTAAGAGTAACATAGTTGACCTACTCTCTTTGGGTCTCCGTGGACTGGAGGGTATGGTGCCATACAGGGAACTGTCTCTTGTGCTAGAGAAAACGGCGTGGTACAAGGCGGGTAAGGAGACAAAGTTGAGGAGGAGGAGATGGCAGCAGCTGCTTTTAAAATTGGCCTGGAGGGAATGACTTGTGCCATTCCGCAAGATTCAAGCTCGAGACCAATATTATTTCACTAATAGCTGGTTAGGAAAAAAAAAATTAGTGTGCTTATAAAAAGCACTGTGCCACAAAACGGGGGTACTTCATCAGTATGTTGAAAGATTGGAATATCTTATAGCAAAGTCTGAATACCCATGAATGATTGGAAAAAGATAAATGGGACGAACATTTGCAGTATTAAAAAAAAAAAAAAAAAACATTTATCTGAGGGCTACTAAGAAAGCCTGCCAAGACCTAAGAGGTTCTCATTGAAAACACCTGTGCAAGAGCCAGTGATTCCCACTGACCCCAGAACGGTCGCGCGCAAAACACTCCACCACTCTCAGGTGAGGTGTTCCCCACAGCAGCAGAGATACGTTAGCGTGATAGCCAAGATAAGGAACTGTTAGTACTATTAAACAAGCCCTCACGGAACTTCATTTGCAACCTGTCCACAATTAACACATACATTTCACATAAACTCAGAGTGGGAAAAAGTAGGAAGAGATGATTGGAGTGACAAGACGGGTGGCAAATGCATCTTATGAAGACTGGGCTTGGCTCATGTGGTCTGGCAAAGGCAAGGGTGTGAGGGCATAAAACTGTTTCCTAAAAATAGGTCTGCGACAGAAATCTTCAAGGATGGAAAGAACTACTTAAACTAATGGCCAGTGCTGCCACAGGAACAAACTGAGCTGTATAAACTGCTCATGAATAAATTTAGGTGAGGAGTGAAAAGAAGATGCTTAATTATTGGAGAAGTGAGGCTATGGATCCAATAACAGGAACTAGAAAAAAATCTAACTAGTTTTTGATGATATTTTGAAGGAGATTGCATGACATGCTCCTTACGCTAGAAAACGACTGCATTTGATGACCCACAGGCTCTCTTCTAGATTTACTACTCTCAATGACAATAACCATCATGGGTAAATTAAAGGCACATGGTAACATTTCCCATCAATGCCAGAAGCTCCTAACGCTATGGGGATGCATGGAGACTAACCTCACTGACTGAGAGAAAAAAGCAGTGCTCTTAAGAAAGGGATTCAAATCTTTGTAATTTAGTCATCAAGGTGGAGAGAGACAGACCCTTTCTCCTGCTGTGGGTGACTCAATCTGCCTATCTGCAAGCGCTTCCTTTAGGAGGAAGCGAGTTCTCCTCTGCCTCTCCATGGAGTACAGAAGAGATGCCTAGGCTGGATGTCTGGCCTTCAAAAGTACGGAGAGTTAAATCCTCTCCTAAAAGACCAGAGCGTTCATGTGGCCTGCTGCCTTTTCTTTGGGGTTTTCCACTACGGTAGTGACCATGTCCAATCACAGGTAGTCCTTGAAACTTGAGGAAGTCCCAGCACTTCAGGTACATGCCCAGAAGGGTAACTCTACAGTAAATTGAGCACTCTCTTGTCTTACTTACTCTTAGTGCCTTTATTTTAATTAATTTTAAAAGCCAACATTTAAATACGGTAATTGGCAATTATACATTTTATTTTAAAATAAAAATGTTCTAGTTGAATGCATTATGTATTCATTTTGATATACATACAATTTACATCAATATCAAATGGAATCATAAAAAAATAGAGTTAAAAGTTACACAATTATTCTTTTTAAATCAAATCCACAACGGGACTAGAAATTTTCCAAGTCATTTTTCCTACCATTAGCGCACATTACTAGAAGCAATTGCTTTTCCCTGAAGCCTCCAAAAAGCAAAAGGAAATGATCAAACAGCTTGTAAATTGACCCATTATTTTTCTTCAGTGTTACTGCCAAAAGCATTTATAAAAATACAACCACTTTCATTGCTATTAAATAGAACATTAAACAAATCATATTTAACATTAAAGCAAACATGGGAAAATTCAAACAGTGTTTGCATTTCAACGTGAAGAGAGGAAAAAAATGTATTTTATTTGCTTACCTCTTCAAATTTTAGTGCAATCATAGAAAAAGCTTTAAAAATTGCATCTGTTGGGCCTGTTATTGTCACAATTCTTTCTGGACAGGAGCCTTCTGAAATATTGATTCGAGCACCACTCTGTCAAAAAGAACAAATATTTTTCAAATGTATACTCTCAGGGGAGCAAAGTAAGGGGGATTAGGGATATAGTTTGGGAAGGAATATCTTGAGGCATCTAATTTATTCCCTGCAATTGCAGCCCCAACATTATACAATTTCAGCATAAACTGATCACTTGCCAAAAAATCACCTCGCTGTGGGAAGCCAGACTCTCTAGGTAAATACTTACATAGCTTTCATCCCAGTATGCAAATTGCACCTCTGTAATTCAGAGTCACAAATAATTACATGAGTAAGTCTTTCCCTTCCTTCTTGCAGGACTAACCTTAGATAGGACTGAAACCACAGAATTTCAGACAAGATTGTTTTCTCCAGGGAGCACCACCTTCTTGGAAGAAAGATTCGCTTCACTCTGGTTTGGACCTAAGCTCAGTCCTTGATCTTTCTAGCTGGGCATTGCTTTACAGCGTGAAGGAGGTTCCTCACAGGTGAGTGTTATGTGAAGAGTTAGTCAATGAATATGCACTGAACCACCCCCATGTCACCATGGCAGAGTAGAGAAGGTCCTTACAGCAGATGTAAATATATTTAAGAGGATCTTAGTGCAGATGAGAATCAAATCCAGTCCAGGCGAGATCAAGCCTACACTCTCTCTCTGGTTTTGGGCACGGAAAGGTGTTAATAACAAGTCACTAGAGCTTCAGCTGCTCCACAGACCCTGACCTGCTTGAGGATTTCGGCCTGTAGCAAACGTAAGATAATCTGAGTTAGTCTGGCCCTCTGCCTTCTCCTCTGCATGTTAGGTTACCACAAATGCACTTGTGTGTGTCTGAGCCTTTATTCATGTGTATGCTGCTGCTGAACGGCAGGATGTCATATTTCCCCATATGACAGCGACCAAGAAGAAAAAAACCCTATTAATAGAAAAATCTTGCTGTCACAAACTCAGCTGGCAGATCTACTTGATGCTTCTAGACAAGAAAGGGCAACAGACACCTTTTCTGACAGGTGAACCTAAGTGGGAATTGCTCCAATCAACCATCGGCATTCAATCAGGAAGGAGATTCAGGCCTCGGGCTAGCTTAAACTGGCAGAAATGTTTGGCAGCAGTTATCAAACACAAATCGGGTTCCTCGGGAATCAATTCTGCAATGTGCTGGACGGGAGTTTTGCCAGCCAGCACTGCTTGTGGGAGCCCGGCCTCGGCTACTCCACCACTGCCTTCATGCAAAGCAAGGCTCCTGCTCTGCAATCACAGTCGCGGGAGGTTATCTGAAAGATTACTCTACAGTGGATTGTCTGCAGCCAAAAATCAGGTGCTACTCCACCGATAGACTTCTGGTCAAGGCAGAGCTATTGCACTGAAAAGGTTATGTTTTAAAATAAAATGTGGTGGTCTCCAATACTTTTGTGCAAGAAGTTAACAACAGCAGGGCACAAAATGGCACAACATGCCTTTTTTTGTATTTTCCCTTAGACACAAAGCTGCCTCTGACACGCTCCTGACTGACACAGCAGGCCAAAGTTGTGTTTTCTTTCAGAAAAGTCAACATAAAGTTGCGTGTGCATGCGTTTTTAAAGAAGAAGTTAAAAAAGAAATGCTAAGGCAGTCATTTAAAAGGAGGACTACAGTGTCTGATGGATTATCATCACATGCAGATATCATCTGTGTTCTGTGTTGACAGTGAAGATGCATATAATTTCTTTAAATAAATAACATTAAATAAGTAACATTTGACATTTATCCTGAAAAAAAACAACAACCAGGAACTATAACTCTTATGTAAGATGTTTTGACTCTCAGAAGTCAGGAGCACTTGGAATTTATGCCCAAAGATATCGTAAGTAAGTGATCATAAGTAACAATTAAACTACTAATCAACTGACAGGTCACCTAGCCTGTGGAAAATTAACTTTTTTTTTTTAAAGGCTAAACAAATATACAAATATTTTAAAGCACAGAATGAAATCACTGTCTCCAAAAATGGCACTCTGAACCCATTCAGCCTGAAAAGGAGCTCCCAGTTGTGTACATTTAAAAATGTACCACAATGATTTTCTTTACTACAAGTATTTTGAGATTTTGCTGCCCGAGACCTTCTACCAGTATATGAAACAACAAAGCAGCTAACAAAGCTGCAGAGACCTTAGCAGCAAACTGATTCTTCTCAAGGAATCCTCTACACACTTTGCACTCCTGAAGTGCAGCAGCATTTGTCTTTAGACTTACTCTTTTGGCAAATGTTTGAAAGAACAAAATATTTCAGGGATCTGCAGGTTAGATGTGCTGATTTGCAGGACAAGCAGGTCCTTAACCGAGAGCCAGGCATACTCCTCTAGAGGTAGGCAGCTCACTTTGGGACACGGGTACAAGCCTATGAGCACCGGGGAGACTGGAGTTTATGCAGATGACTTTTCAGTTAGGCTTTTTGTATTTGTAATATTTTTAATGCACGTGAAATGGCCAGTGGAACAAGTCTACCCCAAATACATCCCACTGGCAGCAGCAAAGCAATGAGAAGCTAAGGCCACGCCGAGACATGGGAGAGAGACGCTTTGACTTATGCATGTCTGGCTCTGGCTCTGCTGAACTTCGCGTCCATCTCCAAACTTCAGGCAGCATCAGCCTAAAGCCTGGTTTCCGATTTTGGAAGCTCTCTACGAGGAGGTCGCGCTGCACGCAAGAATGATGTTGGTGTGCCAACGAAAGGAAGAGTGGGTTTGATGCACTAGGTCATGCTGGCTAAGGCAGCAGCAGGCATATCGCTATGGGTCTAAAAGTCTCCAGACTGCTGCACTGCTATGGAGGTTACATTAACCACAAGGTTTAAATTAGGGCAGTGCATTTATATGAGGACACTTGTAACAGAGTAACAATGTTAAATTAAGTGCCCACTTGGTGGCACTGTCACTCTACATATACTGAATATCACCAGAGCTCGAAAGAAGTACAAGTGAAGACATCAATGGTTGTCTTACCTCCTCCCTCATCTTCTTAACTGTCTCACCTTTCTGTTAAAGAAACAGGAAAAAAGTTAGCCTGTGCTGATGAAGCAAACTGATAGACAATATTTTGACATGAAATTGAAGAGTGAAATTTCCTGACCTTTCCAATAATGCTTCCAACCTCCTGAAACAGAAAAGAAAAAGATACGGTGAGTGAATGATATGATTCTCTGAAGAAGAGCATTTGCTAAGCTCCTAAGCTATTCCACTACTCACTTATCTCAAAATTTGTGATGAGAAGTGCGGCCCCGCTCTGTTGCCACTGTACACAAATATGCCATGTTGGAGCAACTAAAGGGGCCAACTAAAGATGAGGCTTTACAGCTTACTGATGGTGCAAGAAAAATACCTTTCACAGAAACTGAGCTTCAGGTTACCGATCAATTCAATAAACACAGATTAACACCTATACCAGGGAATGAAAGGTTCAAAAACAACAGAGCTACACAACCTACTAGAGAAAATGGGATCTGATACAAGCATCAAAATAATTGCCGAACTCTCTGAAGGCACGCATCTACTTTCTCTTCACCAAGCGATAGCTAGAGTTGGATTTCCATGCTATCACGCGTTATTGCATAAACACCTGTCTTTTAATCTCTCCTTTAAGCACTTACAGAACAATAACTACTAATCATTTGTTAGGGATTTGGGAATTGCTACCATAGTCCAAGAATCCTACGTGAAGGGACAGGAAATGCTGAGAAACATTGCTGTGAACTTACAACCGGAGAATGATTTGGCAGGTCTGACAACATCCTGAGGGTTTAAAATTTGGCGCATAACCGGAGGTAGTCAAACTGAAGCTACTAACTCTAAAATTATAGTCCAGACATTTTACACAAGTCACACAGGTGTGAAATCAGACTGGAAATCACCTGATGGAAAGGAGCCCAGCTAAACGAAAATACTCTCCTATATCCAGACCGTAAAATCTACTTCCACGGTTAAAGACTGTCACACACGGCTGGTCTGACCTACAGGTATGATATATCGCTTTTCCTCCCCCCCCAGTTTATAGACTTGTCTCACCCACCCTGAAACACAGCCACAACAGTAAGATTTAAGAAATTGTTCTCCACTGCTCTGTCCAATGATAGACTCATCAAAAAGTGGTACTAACTTCCCCTTGTTGTACAAGACTGCCTGGAGTGACCTCGAGGAAGCTGTTTCTCATCGCTAGGTTATTTTTAAGCTGATAATATGAAGCTACTTGTGCTCACGACTCCTCAAATGCTGCACGCAGGACTGAAGGGCTGTTCAGTGAGAGGAAGACCCAGCTCAAGGAAGAGCTTGGACATACATATGGTTACCTTGTGCTCTCCACAGGTTTGCAGATAATTTCAAACTCGGGGGAACGGCTGATACACTGGTGGACAAGGCTGCTATTTGGTGTGACCTAGACAGGCTGGAGAAATGGGCTAAGAAAAACCTCAGGGAGTTCAACAAAGGCAAATGCAGAGTCCCCATGTCTTATATTGAATAATCTGATGTAGCAGGGTGGGCTGGGCACCAGCACCTTTGCAGAAAATGAGCTGGGGCTCCCAGAGAACAGTACCTCAAACATGAGTCAGTAGTGCATCCTTGCAGCAGAGGCGGTCAACAGCCTCCTGGGCTGTATCAGCAAGAGTGTAGCCATCAGGTTGAGGGAAGGGATACTTCCCCTCTGCTTGGCACTCGTGAGACCAGCCTGGAGGACTGTGACCTGTTTTGGGCTCCTGCTACAATACAGACAGGACATACCAAAGTGAATCCACGGGAGAGCCACCAAGATGGTCAGGGGACTGGAGCGCAGAGGCCGAGAGAAATGGGTTTGTTCACCCTTAGGAACAGAAGGCGTGGGGGATCTTATTGCCAGGTACAACTACTTAATGGCAGGGTGTAGAGAAGTAGGAGCCAAGTCTTCCCAGAGTTGCACAGTGGAAGAACAAGAGGCAACGCATACAAGTTGCAACACATGTTAATTCCTACTCAGTACAGAAAAAACATTTTTGCCATAAGGATAGCCAGAAATTGGAACAGGTGCCCAGAGAAGTTGTGGAGTCTCCATCCTTGAAGATATCCAAACCTGACCAGGCAAGGCTCTGAGTAACCTTTTCCAGTGCACGGGGACCTCGTGCTTTGTGCACGAGGTTGGACTGCAGACTTCCAGGGATCCCTTCCAACATCCTTGGTTCTGCGGTTCTTCAAGCATGGCCTTATGTCCACTGAAGTCCATGCCTAAGCGTAGCCACAAAGTTCCTCAACCCTATCTGGCTCTGTGTGGGGCTACTCAGGCTTGTTTTCAAACTTTATTTTTTCTGTTTCCCGTTTCCCTGTTTCCCTTCCTAATTCACCTCCAAGATGCCACTCTGCTCTCCTGTACCTGCTGGCCAGACAGCAGATATTCTTCAGCTAGGCATTACACATTTTTCAGAGGTATCTGCTTTCCAGATATGCAGTTTTACCAGCTGACGTGCAGTGAACACTTCATACAGCTGGGCAAGTGTTCTTGCTAAAGTCTCCCGCATCCATCTAGCACTGTGAGACATCTGTATATCTGTGCGTACAGCGCAAAGAAGCAGCTCTGTGAGAAGGGCCGTGAATGGAGCCTGATACTCCGTGGTTTTGCGGCTTGTGACTGAATTAGCCTGTGTCTAATAATGTGGGGTCTGGTCACGCCCTTTGGCTGAGACAGCCATATCAGCATGCTGGGCAGGTTCACTGGTGAGGTGCAGCCTTTTTGTTAGCAGTGACACAAATGTGGGCCACCTGTTCCACAAAGTTTTCAAGATCTTTCTATCTTTTAGACTGCGACTGTAACTCTGCAACCTGGCTGCAGCTGTTGATTGGGATTAAAACGTACAGGAGGATAAGAAGGGACAGGCAGACACCCACACAGACAGCATGACTGCATAAATCTAAATAATGATAAGCCTGAGGAACCCCACATATCTACTACTTCCTAACGGCCCCTCAGCACATTCAAGCAGCTTTATCTTGAATAATTTTTCCATTCTTTGCAATTCCAGGGTTTAGAAATACTTTCTTTGGTGAAACTTACTCCCAGTGGGTGGAAGAAGGGCCCTTTGCTCCGGGCAAGTAATTGTATTTCAATCTGCAGTACGTTTTTGTTTTTCTTTTTTTTGAACATCTCAAGTTCCATTAGAAACTCCAGGCCTGGCCTTGACCCTGCAAGGCTTTGCTGGTATACTCCTATTATCAAATCTGGCCCAACCTATTTGATCGTCCTGGGTCTTAACGACAGACGTATTCCTTTCAGAAATGCATGAACAGAACATGGCTAATAAGTACAAGCATACCTACCTTGGAAACGCACAAAACGTTTTTGCTTTGGGAATAGAAAAGTAATATATATTGCTTGAAGTCCTATTAAAAGAGATGGTGCATTTCAAACACAGAAGTCACGAGTCTCGAAATAAACAAAATAAAGCATAAAATACAAGGATTCTCCAGCTGCCTATGCCACTGAAGTCTGTGGGAGTTTTGCCATGGATTTCAGTGGGGATAGGAATTCTTTCCAAACTTATCTTCAGAGTACTGTCTTGCAAAGAACTGCAGTCAATGAACAGTGTGAACTCCATTGGAAAAAAAAAAAATCAGTGAGACTTGTGACCAATTCCTTGGAACAGTCCCTGTGATTCCTTAGAAAATGTCACTGTGATTCTACAGAGTATTCCAAACCTTCCCCTCTTCAAAGGGGGAATTTAAAGCATACTCTATAAAGAGGCTATTTCAAAACATTCAAACCTCTTTGCCTGTACTGCAGTTCCCTTTGAGTTAAGATTCTGCTATGAAATGTGAGGGAAGGGGAAAAGAAAAAGGGAAAGCCTTTGTCTCATATGATATTCCTAAATTTTCTAAAATTTTTGATCTTGTACAAATTAGTCGAAAAAATAATTCTGGAACTGTCCTAAACTGGTAGTTTTAGCCTTCTTTGGGTTTCACCTCTTTCTTGGAAAGCTCCCAGAAAGCCTAGAGATAACGTATATTTTTTAATTATGACGAGAAATCTACTTTGGTCACAGATACAATCGGAGGATTTTTTTATGACTTATTCTTCAAATTACCTATGCTACCTCATCAAACCTTTAATGATTCTTTACACAGTCCAACATTTGTTTCATACAGATTCTTACATGGCTCTAAACTATGTTTAGCACTTCATGGAATATGTAACACCATTTTTACGATACTCAAGTTCTATCAATATGTCTAGCCGAGGTTATTCTGAGGGCTTTATCCTCTTCAGTGACTGCTTCTAAATCAGTCAGACACCCAAAGCGTGCTGTAGTTGACTGCTTAGACTGAGGGGATGGCAGGATCTGTCACCTACATCACTTGATTAAAAGTTAGGAATTGAGTGTTAACCCAGGCACAGAAGCTCCTCTATGGTCAATGAACAGAGACAGGGTGAGGGTGGATATTTCACTGCTAAAAGAGGAGGGATGGCGTGTGCTCTCAAGGGGTTCATCCCTCTCCATCTGCTGTAGAAGCAGCCTAGCCTTGCACTAACATACACAGGCATAAATTGGGTGAGAGGGTTCCTAGCTCTGATGTCAAATTCAGTCTCAGTATAGGTAGGACAGGAGCTTGATTTCGCTGTCCTAGAAAATAATACCATACTAAAATATACTAATATCCTTGCACTATTTGCTACTTTCCAGTGCTCAGGAATATATGCTTCAGGTAAGTTTTTATTACCAATTTCAGACTAATTTATTGACTAACTCCCTATACATACACATAATAAGAGAATAGGTTATATGATAATTGCTGGGCTTTATATACTCACATTTCAGCAACAGATCCAAAAGCACTGCACAAGTGAAACTTTTGTAAATGGGGAAACTAAAGCACTAGGGAAGAAAGACAGGTCCAAGGTAATCCAGCAGACTAATGGCAGAGCTAAAAGGAAGACTGAAGTGCCTTGGCTTCAATATGCAAACATCTGCTTGTGGGAAACCAAAAAGCCACAGTAACTGCGTTGGATGAACATGATGCCTCCAAAAAGCCACAAAGGTGTGTGTGTATACATACACTGATACAGATGCATACCCATGCATATGCTTACATGTGTTTGTGGGAAGTCAAAATATATATTCAGCCACCAAACAGATAGAT